TTATTTTTAAGCCTATTTTAAAAAGTAACAACAGTTATATTTAGGTCTATGACGTCACAGCACTGCGTTTGACAAGCTCGAGGCTGTTTTTTAACAGAATTGTAACTGATTAGCTGCTGAAAAATGATTTGCCAGCCTGACTTCAGATCTACAGACTAATCAGGGATTCAGTTATGCGGTAGAACCATAGGACTTTATTTAGTGTAATCATATAACATTGGTTATAATATAATGTATGAATTTAAAAAGTGGAATCACTAAAATCAAAATTATTTATTCAGTCTAGGCTGTTACAAGCACTTGCGAACGTCGAGAGCAACGCCATATCGGTTCGTAAATCTACGGCGGGAGACCTTGTAACGAGAAGAACCTGCAAGAAACTAGGCAAGGGCTGCTTTTTCTGACTGTTTTATTTCATACAGAGCGTCAAGATTGAAAAATTACTTCATTAAAATATGAAGTCACTTTCCATTACAATATTAGAAAATATAAAAGTAAAACAGTACTTACGTCAATTGAATCACATGTCTAGTCAAACAAGCTCACCGATAAATAATTTAATATACATACAAATAAGCCATATTTAACACCAAGCAGTTTTGTCGTTTAAATATTCATTAACAGTATAGTAACTTTAGTGAGGAGACAATTCTTAATATGGGTTTTAAATTAAGGCAATGGTAAGTTAAAAATTTCCATAGGAATTTTGTTATAGTAGTGTACACCTTGACCCATAAATGTTGATAGAACCTTCTTTAGCCTGCATGACGGCAAAACTAGTAATCATTGTCACATGCGTATGATTTATATGTATTTCTGATATAATATAGATTCCCGTATTTTTTAAGTCCGTCCAGTAACAAACAAACTAACAGAAAAAATGTTTTCTCTTAATAATATTAATGTAGAATAATAGCAGACTACATTTATGTCGTAACAGATAATTTGCGGTCTTATAAACTCACGTGAATATGTTAATACGTCGTTCGTTTCTCCATTAATACTGGTTATGAACTGGTTTTATTCAGTAATTTTATGAGGTGAACTTTATTTATTAATAGCAATGGGACATGGAACCGTTTTAATTTGACTTGAAAATTAGCTTTGATACTATTACCAACCTTTGGCTTTATAAATAAAAACTTTATATATAATAAATACACCTAAAAAAACACAATATAATACGATTAAACTTGTAATAAAAAGATTTGACATTCAATATACATATGTAGTCGTTTTTCAACCGTTAGAAACTTTCACCGCCTTTACATACCTGACTACATATCTGGGGGTAACAGCCCCGGTTATCCGGTTAACCGGGGGTATATCGGGGAGGGGGATTCACGAGGGTTCAGCCTAGGTGAATCCCTCTATAAGACAGGCTAGGGGCTAGGATGCTCAGTTGCGTATCTCTGTCTCTTGACAGGAGGCAGTTTGGCGGGTTAGCGCGCTTGCTGGACATTGCACGCCCCTTGTCTTGTCTGGGAGGCGGGACTTGAATGTTCTTGAGCCCTGCCCGTGTATTCTAACCCATGTTAGGAGTAAAGGAGGAGCAAAGTATTGGGTCGAAATGGGGCGAGTCGTGCGGGAAGTCGTCCCACCGTGCGGTATCCATATCGTGCTTTTGACTAGCTCCCATTCTGGGGGTGGGGGGGGAGTTCTACATAACTCTTGGAGCTTGCACAGCGAAAGCGAGTATGCGTAATGCATTTTCAATCATTAATACCCACCGCCCTTTACCTTCCGTAAAGGGCGGAAGATGATGATAAATTCGAAAATATTTTTATATAGGAATCTAATAGGTAGGCAAGAACAATGAATCTGGTACTACCTATTTATTTTTATTATTTAAAAGGTAATCGAACCTAGAAGATAAATGTACAAATACTTTATATACTATAAAATTTTGTACAAAAAAAAACAGATTTCATGTAAAAATAATATAACCAAATTTTTTTTATCCTATTTAGCATTATCCTCTAACGTAATGTAAAAAACCAATATTTTCTTGCAATTCCGCTTTCATCAATCTAAGTGTTTCTTGTGTCAATTGGCCATTCTTTCTTCAAATGATAAACATCGCGTCGCGTTGTAGGTGTCGATTATTGTGACATCTCGGGGCTGAAGGCACTTTCTCAACTCACGGCATCCCACCATTATGGATAAATACCGAAACAAAAACAGAAATTGTTTCCTAACTGATGTACAATGGCCGAAAATAGTTTTTTCACACCCCAAAAAACCATAGAAAGGAAATAAATAAATAATTACAATTCTCATAGGATTATTTTTGGGTACAATGAGAATTGTCAATCGCAACCTATCTAAAAAATTGTCACACAAATCCTTTTCTTCTATCGACTGCTACGCCTTTTTAATAAACCTACTTACGACTTATGGAGGGCAAATGAAATGGTTTGAATGTAGTTTTAGATGTTTCTGGAGATATATAGGTACTATTGGACACACTAAAATAAGTGCACATATATTTAGATTTTTTTTATCACTAACACCCGTATCTTTGGTCAAGAGAAGTTATTACCAAATAAACAAGAATTTTAATAAAGTAAGAATTGTTTCTAGTTAAAATACTATTATTATTATTAACAATTCATATTTCATCCAAAAATTCTCGTCTATTTATTTGCTTAAATTATGACATTTTCTTAAGTAATTATTTTTATCGACTATAGATACGAATGTAAGTAATTCGTTCTCTTTGGTTAGATAAATTTAGTATTATTGCTATATTCTATAAGTGCAACTAGTAATTTGTATTATACGGAAATCCGCATTTTTACTCATATTAGACTGCTCATAAAATAACAAAATTGATAAATCAAATATATTTTTTCGAATTGGATCGTGATGTATAGATTTATCAATTTATAGCAAAATATTTCCAAGTTAAAGGTCTCAATTAAATGTTATAAAAGAAAAGTGCGTTATTACGTTTATAGAATGAGCGTCAAGGGCGCCCGCCTCACCAACACTCGATGCGTAGACTCATACTTCGGATTTATTAAATAAAGTTATTAAGAAAAATTAAAATATAATTTGCGTTGGTTACTTTATCGATAGTATTATTGGATTAAACTATTAAATGTGCCATTTATCAGATTAGATGAAGACAGAGATTAAAGAGTGATAAAGGTAGCTAAAAACATTAACCATTGTTGTGAGAGATTACAATTGATCATAGAAAGACTTGTGAAGGGCACCTACATAACCTGACATTACTGGAGATGCCAGTGGGGATGACTGTTCTTTGGACTATTTAATTTCATACATTTACTTTTATTATGAATATTATATATTGATTTGTCAATGAGTATGTCTGGCTCGGCAACCGGCAGATTAATTTATTATCGAAAAATATTTGTTCTTCTATTTCTGATATTGTAATGGAAGGTGACTTTATGATCTAATCAATTGGCTTTCCAATAAAACTTCTCTGAATGAAATTAAATAGGGAGAAAAAAATCACTGTACTGAGAAAAATCAACAAGAAACCCTTACTGTGTTTCTTGTTGATTTTTCTCAGTACAAGGTCTCCCGAGCACTAAATTGTGTGTGTAGGGGGGAGGGGATGTAAACGTATTCAAATTTCTGCCTCAAAAAGTTATCAATCCGGGCCTGTTGCCGCCCCAGGCCTTTTTATTGCCATTGAATTATTAGGCTGATGTAACTTTGTGACACGTAGTATGGATGGATGAAAGCACATAAGCAGGTACCCATAAACTCGAAATGTTTTTTTATATATCATCTATATATATAGATGCCTATATTATAAGAGAAAAGTTAACAATATACCCATTCCTACTAATTAATGTCAATATCAACTGAAAACATAATTCCGTAATCTCGATAAAAGAAATTGCAAAGTCAACTCTAAATTGCAACAATCAGTTATATTTAAAATTCACTAACATTACAAATGACATGTGATGAGTTAAACTTCCAAGGGCGCAGATCAATTTTATAAATGTCAATTCACTTTTACTAGGTATCTTGCAGTGTGCCTACATTAACATTTTCCTGCCACCTGTATTAGATTATGTAATTATTGTTATTGTCACTAATCTAAACACGATATAATATTGTATCGTACTCCGATCATAGACCGTGCCGTCACGGTTTGTCGACAGCCTTCGACCAGTGGGCACAACTAATGTTTTATAATTACATAACCGATCTTAGTTCCCAGATCATATTATCGCAGAAACGGACATAACAGTGACAAAAAATCTAACCAGCAATTTTGATTCTTCTTTTAATTCAATATTACGTGCCTATTGCTAATTTATAAAGAGAAGAGGCTTGAAATTATTTTTAAAAGTAACATTATTCACATAAAGATTGCTATTATTTTTAGGTTGAATCAATGTTTCGGTATCAGAAAATTATCAAGTACCTTGGTAAGATAGTAGAGATTTTTAAAATAGAAGACCTCATGTGTTCTGTTGCTTGTTACACAATTTTATACTATAAAATTTTATCAATTTTATTACAACTATATCAACTACTAACAAAGAAAAAAAAAATAATAATATATAAGTGTGTAACAATCTGTGGCGATACGCCTACTCGTTTAAAATAGCAAATGAACTTAAAAATGTAAATGCTACGCAGAACTCAAAGGAAATAGGGTCTAGGTAGGAAACCTATAATAAGGTCGGTAAGTTAACAGCACCTATTAAACAAAACTATGAAGATAAACAAACTTTTTGAAAATAAACTTTTTCTCATGGATTTCAAACTTTTATTGATGAAAAAGACGTTTGAAATCGTTTGTAAACAAATGTGATAATAACCCGATGTACTAACTACCCATTGGTTAAAAACATCATTGACGTGCTATCATGTATGAAAATTTATTTAAAATTATGAAATTTAAATAATATGTGTATGTGGTGTGTTGTCAAAATAAATTCTTATTCTTTAAATGAATACATAACCTAGCGGATAGTTATTAAAAACTACTTTTTATTTTGTTACAGCGATGTCGGCCGATGGGTCGACTACAGACATCAATGTGCTGCTCAATGATACTGGTGAGAATTATTTTTATTTTATATTCTCTCCACTCAAAAGTTGATTAATTAATTGAAGAATTAAATAAAATATATGTATGGTACTGATTTGCATTGAAATGATGTTAGCAAACAGTGCCAGGATGCATCGATAAGTCCTACCTACCTATATATTATTATATGTTTTTATTCAATGATAAATTTGTTCCAAGCAATTTTTATAAAAGATTTTTTTTTTAATGGTACTATCACGATTAAGAATAATAAAACCGTGGAGTATTTAATTATATAATAATCGAAATATTGCATTTTCGTTCGTGAAATAAATTAAATCTTCAAAATAAAACATAATTGCCATCTTTTGACAGTAACTGGAATGAATTAATAATAAACACCATCTTGAAGTGCCATCTATATGTTTTTGTGACATCATATTATAATAGGTATTTAAGTTGCTTTTAAAAGTGTTCGTATAGCGCCATCTAGCAGATATTTGATATACGTCGCACACAGCGTATGAAAAGCACTTATATCACTTGTGCTATTTCTTGTTATAATCTTTGTTACTACCAATAGATGGCGTTCTCAAATTGCTTTACTAAATTATGAATAGATGGCGCTACTAAGCGTTAATAAAAGATTTTTGAGGTAGCGTAAAACAATATTGTATTATTATAAGCTGTTTCAAAACTTTATCCTTTTTAATGCGTACCTACTATCACATAGTACTACAAAACTACAAGAAAAATTGGTTAAAAGATTTAAAGAGATAATTTTTTCACCAACTGTGACGCACTTACCCTTGAACCGAAACTGTTATGAAACCTAATAAATCGGCATCCTATTAGGTAAGTATAATTTTAAATTATGGGGTTTCCGCGTTTAGTGTGTCACCACATCACGGCATTGTGACGCCATTAGTATTATAGAGGTAAATCCAATTAGTACTAGCGGCACTTAAATTGTTATCTTTAAAAAATTATCGATATCGAACTTTATTTAATAAACCTTATTTTTTTATTTATTTAATTTACTAATCTCATTTAATTCATCGTTCTTCAAGTATTTTCGAATCAAACAACTTTGTAAGTAAGACTTGTGCAAACCATACCTACCACCTACGTCCAACAGTTCCGTGACTTCAAATTATTTCCTATCTAGTGAAAGTTTATTAGAAAGATTTAAGGTAGGTACTTACCTCAAGTATTGTTTTGTATTGTATGTATGTTAGCAATTTAAAAACTTTTTATCTTGTAAGAACTAAACGAAATTGCACGCACATGATATTTATATAATTGACTTGATTTTCATTGTACTGCACTACAAAAATATAGCTACAAATTTAATAACATTAGTTAACTCATATTTTGGCTCAATTAATTCGTTTAGACTAACGATATACATAAAACTTATTATTATAGCCCACTTAATATCCAGGAAAATCTGATGTTACTTGGTAGTAACAAACCAGCAAGAACCTTTCGATGACTTGTTATAAAAATATATACCTACTCTCAAATTCGGTAATAGGTATACAATTTCGTTTAACCTGTGTGTTGATGCACCTTTTTAACAACTCTTCAATCCTACTTTGCGATGCCTGTAAGCGCTTTTAAAATCTAATATATCGATAAAAAAAATATCGACATTACTATGTGTAGAGCCTAGAGCCTGTAACGTTTCCCCCCCTTACACCCCCATATAAATAGATATAGTTAAATATTTTAAAAGAATTATTTAAAATTAAACTTTAATAAAATAAATATTAACTTAATATTGGCCATCATTATAATGTTGTGATCGTCTAGTGGCAGGACTCCTCGTTGTGTATTGTATTTGTAGCAACCTTAGATTCTTTGTATGAAGGTGATTGTGAGTTGTTAGAGTATATGTTATTGAGGGCATGTAAAAGACTACATTTTAAACTAATAAATTAAACAAACCTAAAAGATTATAAAACATTGTCATGCATAAAATAATAAAAGTAAAAGTTTTCTCTTTGGTAAGTAAATAAAATATAAGAAACTGTTTATAAAATAAGGCTTAAAATATTAAAAGAAAATTATAAAATCAGTATATGGGGTAGGAAAGGATATAAGGTAAGTAAACACCAGCAATGCCAGGGAATATGTATAAAAAATAAGAAAATAAATACAGCATTGCTAATGTTTAAAGTGCTTTCGAGCCCCAACCACGCTCAAAGCCCAGGGCCCACCACACGGCCCCTTAACCATTATTTACTCTAAGCGGTCCAGTAAGGAATACCTTTCTAACCAAAAATAAAACTACACCTCCACCAAACAAAAGAATTGCTCTGCAAAAGAGCAGAAGAAAACCCTATGTGGTTCGTTAATATACCCAGACTGATGTCCCCCATAAAGACAATGGAACATAGTTCGACATAGCATCAATTGTCGTCCACCGGTACCAAGGGGAATGCGCCCTTTGGACCACTCCAGTACGGGATAAGGCGAGAACTAACACCATATCGAACAGGACCTCACCAAAATGGAACACACATCCAGGAACATTAGATACCACATCAGAAGGACAATAAAGCGAAGTCCCACAATTATTCGTCAATATAACAGGCTTATTTGCCGTCCACCGAGCTGATGGCACAGGTAATCAACCGAGCTATCTCACACGCTTCCGATACTGGCGGTGATCACCATCCTGACCCAGCATGAGATAGGGATCATTGATACTGATATCTCACCGAACCATACATTCAAATGACGGACAACACCTGCGATATTAACGAATGATCGGAACAACCCAATACTGTGACTTCTTTGAAAACTATGAAAACCTAGTAATAAAATTTAGTATGAACAGACTCAAAAGAGTCCAAATAAGAAAAGTGAACACCTAAGAATTCTCATTCCAATCTGGACCGCTAGAAATTTAAATTGAAAATTAGAATTATGAAACTGACTAGATCAATTCAAAGTGGTTATTTTCTTATGTCAGGTTAGTTATGTGTTATTTGAGTAGTACCTATGTTAAGTATATAAATACATAGTATAATATAAAACATCTGAAAGGCATAATTATAAAGTAATTAATGATGAAACACACAAATTGCACAAAGAAACATTCGCCTAATCCTACCTCCCTACTTTTAATAAGCCTACGTTCCCTAATGGCACTTACTTGTGGTCCAAAGCGGAAGCCCTGGACCCAAAACTTGCCAAAGATCCTCTGCCTATCCTCAGCCCTTCTGCAGCCCACGACGTCCCGAGTTCCGTCTCCGTTGATGTCTCTCACAAAAAGCCCCTACCCCGATCTCACGTTCCCTTTTATACCTCTCCCCCCCAGAATCCCTTCCCGCCGGCTTTTATTACCGATCACAAGTATCCACCAATCACGAACGAGTTTATAAGATTTCGTTTTGGCGCCAATCCCCGAACTGTCATGAATTCCGCCACGAAATATTTTGATATTAATGTCAAGATATTTAGTATATTATTTATTTATTAAGGTAGTTGTTAGTTTTGCATGTTTTTCCTTTTAAGAACTCAAAATTATTTTCTAAGGATTTCCTATATTTCTTTGTCAGACGTAGCGCCATCTAGTATCAATTACTGGAAGTAGTTAGAGATTACCCTTTAGAATATCTACTTATCAGTCTTAATTGTGCGATTAGTATATCATGGTCGATAGATGGAGTGTTACTTTATTACTGAATGTTCAGTCGTTCCCAAACCTAAGGTAAACCTTGCCTTTTCAAATTTGTTTTCTTTTTATTTATTTAAATTAATGGTGACATATTTATTATATACGTGTATAGTGCGGTGTGAACCGTTACAATCGCCCCCTAAATTATAACGAAGTTTATCGGAGTTATAATTTATTTAGATCCAACAGAAGGAACCTCCGCAATTTTAATATTAATCGTAGATCTATTTTAAAAGAATATAGATATCTTAGGGCGCCAACAATGTTCTAAAATAAATTAAACGAAAGATTAATATGGATTTTGTTCAAAAATATAATTATGCTTGTTACTACTTGATATAACAAGTTAAATAAAGCACGATATTGCACATGTTCTGTTAGTGTTTGTGATTGCCCCCAGTCATTGCAGTCTTATCGCTCTTGGAGTAATGTGCAATATAGTACTTATATGATTATCCTGCTTGATAAATGTGGTTGGCTTCTATTAATGGCCCATAAAGCTTGTCAAGTAATGCACGATATCGCACATGTTCTGTTAGTGTTTGTGAATGTCCCCCAGTCATCGCAGTCTTGTCGCTCTTGGAGTAATGTGCTATATAGTACAAGTAAAGTATTATTTGATAGTAACAGAAGAGAATGACACTTGAATTTCTTATCAATGCTACAAATAAAAAAACTCAAAGGAAAATTAAGATAAAATATATCCAACAACACTATCGAAGTCAGAATGTATGACACACCAAAATACCTTTATTCAACATTTACTCGATTTAGAGGGCGTATAGAACAGAAGTTAATGGTTTTATTTGATTGTAACATTAATAATTGGATTGGATAATTGGATAATTATTATATCCAAATATTATTATTAAAATACATGAATGAGAGTTTTTTTTTTTTGATTATTTACTTCAGCCTCGATTGAAAATAATATTTATTTCCAAAGCAAAAGTAAATTAATATTAATGTTGGTCATAGTTACTCTACTAGTCCCAAAATTATGAAGGAATATCATACTGGCATACAACCCCTTCTAGCCATCCTAACACTAATAAAAATACATGATTAGATATAAGGTTTATCACAATCGATAACCATGTATTTACTAACTTATGAGAATGTTATCGCATTTACAGTTATTTCATTACATATTTATTAACTTTCATAGTTTTCTAAGAAAATAGATTATATTAGAAGCAAGTGTAACCAACGATCAACATAGATACGATTCCCCTGTTAAGTATATTTACTATAAATGATTCCATTTAATTAGAATTTCGATAATTTGTCAATAATTTGTACTATTCGATTTACCTAGCTCTAATCAATAATCTGTTGTT